CCTGGAAAATAGCAAGGTAGTTTAAGCAGATGTGTTTTTCTCCACTTGTCTGGGTCCCCCAGCTTGGGGTCTCGCACTGAGTGCTCAGCCAGGGTGGGCCCAGAGTTCCAGAGCTCCAAAGCTCCAAAGGGCAGGCAGTGGGCGGCAAGAGTGACTCTGGGCCCCCCACAGGGTACTTCAGCCAGGAATGGGACCGGTGTCTCTGAGGGGCGGGCGCCCAGAGCCTCCCTGTGTGACTGGCAGCTTGATGCCGGGTGCCAGGCTGGACACAATGCAGCTGGGGAGAGAGCCAGAGGTGGCTGGGACCCAAAATTCCCACGCACGCAGTGGAATAGCAGCAGCAGGAGGCTGCAATATCTGGCCTTAGGAAATGAGGTAAAGTTTGTTGATAGGTGGGCAGATCAATGGAAGTCTCTGCCTGGAGAATGGCGAGGCAGTTTAAGCAGATCTATTTTTTTCTGCTTGTCTGGGTCCCCTGGCTTGGGGTCTCACGCTGAGTGCCTCAGCCAGGGTGGGCCCGGGGTTCCAGAGCTCCAAAGTTCCAAAGGGCAGGCGGTGAGCGGCAAGAGTGGCGCTGGCCCCCCACAGGGTACTTCAGCCAGGAATGGGACCGGTGTCTCTGAGGGGCGGGTGCCCAGAGCCTCCCTGTGTGACCGGTGGCTTGGTGCCGGGTGCCGGGCTGGAGACAATGCAGCCAGGGAGGGATCTGGAGGGGGCTGGGACCGGAGACTCCCACACCTGCAGTAGAACAGCAGCAGTGGGGGGGGTGCAATATCTGGCCCTGCGTGAGACCGAAGTTCCCGGGCCTGGCACCAGCACGGTTGGTGGTGGGCTGGGAGATGGGGGAAGAGAAGTAATAGCCTTTTTGGGAACTCGCGTTCAGAGAATCTCACCAGTTCACCTATGCCATCGCCATCTTGCTTCCAGACCTTCCAACTCATGTTTCTATTGAGAGAACTAGAGAAGCTCTTGTGGGCACTAAGGAAGTCCCAAGCAGCCGGGAGGGAGAGCTAAGCTCGTCCTTTTGTCAGAGACAAATGGACCCTCAGCTCCTTCCAGTGCAGCTCAGTGGGTCAGCTGTGTATTAGGCACCTAAAGGGTACCCAAGCATTTTATGTGCAAGGAACTGAGGATATCGCCCCACCCTCACAGCACTCTCTGCCCGCTGGGATAGAAGCAAAGCTTCGAGGGGGAAAAAGCCTTTCCCCTCCTATCATGGTCGGGTATTTTCTGGAAGCACTTCATTGTTAACGAGGCAGAAATACTGTATGCTCTTTGTGTTGAAATTCCAAAATGATTGTATTTCTCTTTTGAACCGCTGCTCAGTGAATAAACGCAACCTGTTTGTACAAAGACAAACTAAATTCAAGAGGGTGGAGGCAGCTAGCCTCCACACTCAGACCTCAAAAGCGCAGATAAAGTCAAAGGCAGCAAGAACACAAAAGTGTCTGTTCCCCACGGCACCGCAGGGGTCTGAGGAGGACAGGTAGCCACAGATGGCCTGTCTCTGCATCGGCTGTGGGAGGGGTTGCCTCCAGCAGGTGTGGGTTATGCATCTAGATGGTCCAGTTAAAGAGCTTTCTTCTTCGGGATGCTTGTCATGGAGCAGCACGGGGAAGTGATGTCACGACTAATTGAGGGTCAAAGCCGGATCTGGAGAAATCTGATTATGACTTTCAGAGACTGCTTCAGGCACAGCAATCAGGAATGCTGTCTCTTAAAGACACTGCACACAGGAGAACACCCTGGCCAACATAGCAAGACCACATCTCTACAAAAAAATTTTAAAAATTAGCCAGGTGTGGTGGTGTGTGCCTATAGTCCCAGCTGTTCGGGAGGTTGAGGCGGGAGGATTGCCTGAGTCCAAGAGGTTAGGCTGCCGTGAGGCGTGATCATGCCACTGCACTCCAACCTGGGTGACAGAGTGAGACCTAGGCTCAGAAAAATAAAATAAAATAAACCTTTAAAAAGTCACTGCACACAGGAGAGACAAAGCCCATTTCAACTTAGTCAAACAGTTTGGAGGATGTCCCGTGAAACCCCCCAGAGCTGCCCTATAAATGGGCTTCCGTCTTCAGACCTACATCCAAATGCAGTACCTACCCGCCTCCTCCTGGTGGGCAGTGCCAGACAGGACGACAGCAGGGGAGAGAAGCTCCATCCCTTCACAAACTGCCTGGTAGATCATTCATCCTCTAAGGAAGTGTCTAGTGACTATCAACCTGATGTTGCCAGGTCCCGTACAAGATGCAAAAATCGTGGGGAAAATAAATTTTTAGCGTGGGCTTGAGTGTCATCACAAAAGCAAATGTGTTCCCTCAGGACACTGTTGGCAGCACGTCGCTCATTGTCTGGCACGTCTGTGAGGCTGTCATGTCTCCTCCCCCACTGTGGTGCCCTCCCCTCACAGTCCATCAGGCTGCCCCTTAGAGGTCAGCATATGGTGCCCCCGCCCTTCACGCTCTGATGGATTTCACTCTTGCCAGCCCTGGACCGCTGTGCTTGGGGTTGGCAGAACAGTGGAGAAGAGCTTGCAAATGGAACCGCGATTTATTTTCCATCCAGAGACAAATGAGACCTTTAAGATGCTCATCATACCCAGACTTGGGAGGAAAGAAATCTTGGATCCTTTTTTCTCTACAGAACAGATTTTTGGTCTCAAGGCTATCTCTGTCTCTCTTTTTTTTAAGACAGGATCTTGCTCTGTTTCCCAGGCTGGAGTGCAGTGGCACAATCACAGCTCACAGCAGCCTTGACCTTCTGGGCTCAGGCAATCTTCTGCCTCAGCCTCCCAAGCAACTTGGACTACAGGTTCACACCACCACACCTGGCTAATTTTTATTTTTTTGTAGAGATGAGGTCTTGCTATGTTGCCCAGACCTGTCTCGGACTCAAGCTCAAGCAATCCTCCTACCTCGGCCTCCCAAAGTGTTGGATTGACAGGTGTGAGCCACTGTGCCTGGCCTAGGCTATTCTTAATGTTTCAGTTTTCCTTGCTGTGGTCCAGTTTACTGGAATGAAGATATTCTTCAAAGAGTTGAAGTGGAAATCTTAGCACTCACATCTATGGTTGCATACCATGGCCAAAACTGACTTGGATCAGGGCGGTAACATTGTGTGTGATAGCATTTGATCATGGGAAAGTTCTGAACTAAATGCGGTGAGACGTCTTCCCAGCGATGGTGCTGGTGTGGGAATTTATGAGGGGTGGGGAGCAAGTAGGCTTCAGTCTCTGCGTAGACCCATCCTTATCTGCTGTCACCTTGGAGCTGTAGGAGGCTGCCCTAAAAGTCCCTGTGAAGGGAGCTTGAGTGCTTCTGCTTTTGTGTTTTTGGTAATCGTTTGGATCTCTGGCCTCCCATCCGGGGAGGAGAGCCCCTGTTTCTCTCGGGTCATTCTTGGGCTTGTACCCTCCTTCTCTCTAGTCCTTCTTTCTTTTTCTCTTTGGATGATGTTAGGAGTCTTCTCCTATCTCAGGATAAAAGTCAGAGAGGAAGTCACTCGCACATTCCAAACCAAGCCCAGACCTGCTAGAGGGCTGTTGATCTTAAACAATATCAACATTGTACCGTACCGGCAGCTCAGAGAATGGCCTAAAAGCTCGTGCTCAGAAATGGTTCTCAACTTGGAGAAGGAAGCTTTGCGCTGAAATCCGTGGCTGCCAATCCATTGAGTCCTGATAAGGAAGTATGTCTTCTGTTAAGTTGCTGGCTTTATGTACACAATCCTATGTTGGCACTAATCCAAGAGACAAGCAACTTATGAAGATCCCAGAGCAGGCTGCATGTGGATTGTGTGGTTGTGTGTTTTGGAAACCTTAGGATCTTATCTGTCATGCTCCTTGCCCTACTAAAGTCACTGCAGTTTTTTATTTTCCTGAGAAGCCAGGAGTTGTCATTTATTAACCAAGGTATCATATATTGAGTCACTCCACAAACAGGAATGTCTGCCATGTGGGCATCTCTCTGGAGACCATGGAGAATGTGGCTTTCTGCTGCTCCCTGATCACCCCACAGCGTGTCCATGTCATAGGTCTGGTTACCCCAGAAGCTGGCCTCTGAGATGGATGCTCTATTGTAGGAAGCTTACTAGGGTGGATGCTTGGGACCAACTCCCATGGAAGAAAGGATGGGAGCAGGATTGGGCAAAGAATGAAGCTGGCTTTGACCCGTCTTATTGGAGACATCAGCCCCTACAGAGATTCCACCTGGGCAGTGGACCTGTACCTGGATAGGTTAGCACTGGATGTGCAATCACTGGGGGAGGGGCAGACCTAGGCCACAGGGGCTCGCCTGGAGGCAGCGCTGCCAGCAGCTGGGGGAGTAAGTCATTTATGAGGGGACCCAAAAAACCCCAGAACTTATTTATAAAAAATTGTGTATTTATTCTTACATGTTTACACTTCAGTCACCTTCAGAGTACTCTCCACTGATACAATACACCTATCGAGATGCTTTTTCCACTGCTCAAAACAGTTTTTGAACTCGTCCATTTTGATGCCTTTTAGTGCTTCTTCCATCTTTTGTTTCACCTTTTCTACATCCTAATGCGCTGTAGTGGACATGGTGATGTGTTGTCCAGATCTCCTCAAGATTACAAGGGGACCCAAAAAACCCAGAATTATCATTTTCCACATCAGCAAAAATGTTTCCCCTTGAGGACTTTCCTCATCCAGAGAAACAAACAAACAAAAAAGTTACTCGGGACAAGATCAGGTGAATAGGGAGAGCAGGGCACAGGGGTCATGCCGTTTGGTCAGAAACTGCTGAACACTCAGCACGGTGTGGACTGGTGCATTGTCATGGTGGAAGAACCGGTCACTTGTTTGCCACAACTCAGGATGTTTCTTTCGCAAATTGTGATGCAACCTTCTTTAAACTTCCAGATAAAAATTTTCATTGACCATTTGATTCAGAGGAACAAATTCCAAGTGTATTACAAGGGACCTGCCCTCCAAAAGATAATTCTGGGTTTTTTGGGACCCCTTGTAATCCTGAGGGAATCTGGGCAGCATGTCACTGTGTCCACTACAGTGTACTAGGGTGCTTTTAGCTAATCCACAGAAATCTCAACCAGCTTGGACAATAGAAAATTCCTTGTATCTCACAGTAAGATGTTGGGATTGGAGCCGGTGGTTCGGCAGCTCAGCAGCTGATTTAGGACCTTCCCATCTTTCTGCCCATCAGCCTAAGGTGGCAACTTTTGTTTTTTTTGTTTTGTTTTTTTTTTGTCAGGGTGTTACTTTGTCATCTAGACTGGAGTGCAGTGGCACAATCATGACTACTGCAGTCTCAACTGCTGGGCTCAGGAGATCCTCCCACCTCAGCCTCCCAAGTAGCTGGCACTACAGGTGCATTACCGTGCCCTGGTAATTTTTTTTTTAATTGTAGAGATGAGGTCTCGCCAAGTTGCCCAGCTGGTCTCAAACCCCTGGACTCAGGCAATCCTCTCACCTAAGGTAGCAACTTTTGTTTCCAGGTTTCTTCCTGTCACAGTCATGGATGGACGACTGTAGCAGAACTGAGTGTTATTGCAGAAAAGAGAAACTGTTTCTGTCCCTGTGCTATTCATATTGTTGATGAAAAAAATTTTCCTCCTTTATTTTTTGTTGTGGCAAAATATCTATCACATAATTGTTGTCATTAGAACTATTCATAGGTATACAATTCCGTGGTATTATGTCCACTCACAGTGTAGTCACTGTCCCTATTACACACAAAACTTTTTCATCAATCCCAAGAAGCACTCTGTACCCCTTAATGGTGTCCCCCACCTCCAACTCACGTCTGTCTCCTTGTCTGTCTCCATGGACTTGCCTGTTGTCAGGGCCTCCTGTAAGTATAATCAGACAGTGTTGGTCTTTCTTTGGTTTATTGTGCTGATCATAATGTTTTCAAAGTCCAATCACATTGTAGTATATATCAGAATGTCTTTAATCTTAGGGCTGAACAGTATTGCATGGTGTGTTTACATGATGTTGAGTTTTTTCATCTGCTGGTGGTCACAGCTTTCTGCCTTGCAGCTTCTGTGAACCATGTGGCTGTGAACGCCAATGTACACATGAACCGTGCAAGTCTCTGCGTTCCATGTTTTTGGACATATGCCTAGGAGTAGAATTGCTGGGTCACACATAACCTCTGGAGAAACCCCCAGGCTGTTTTCTGCAGCTGCCGGTACACCACTCATGCCTTCCAGCAATGCTGATGTTTCCACATCCCTGCCAACCTTCATTACTTTCCCTTTTTAAAATGATAGGCATCCTTTCCCGCACGTCTTACTGACTGCTACTGTGTCACTTACCCATTCCTAGATTAATTATTTGCAGAGTGAATGAGACAGTACAGTTGCCTTAAACCAGCCAGGACTGGTGCCTGGGTAGACTCCATGTTCCCTGAAGGACACACTTGGCTGCCTGAGTGACAGAACAGTCCAGCAAGACGGGGGGGGGGGGGGGGGTGCGAGGTATAGAGCAGCTGTCCATCAGCGTTTGCAACAGGGTGGCCTTAAGCATAGTAATGCTAGGTCGGGTGCAGTGGCTCACACTTGTAATCCCGGCACTTAGGAAGGAGGAGGCAAGAGGATTTCCTGAGCCTAGAAGCTTGTGATCAGCCTGGGCAACATAGCAAGACCACGTCTCTACAATAAATCAAAAAAACTAGCTGGTTGTGGTGGTGCACACCTGTGGTCCCAGCTACATAGGAGGCTGAGGTGAGAGGATCGCCTGAGCCTAGGAGGTTGATGCTGCAGTAGCTGTGACCATGCCACTGCACTCCAGCATAGGTGACAAAGTGAGACCCCAGCTCAAAATAAATAAGAAACAAGGAATATTTTTTTTTTTTTAAATAGCAATGCTCAGACAAAATATTCTGATTCAGTTGGACTGTGGGTATGTGGCATCCATGTTAGATGTTAGTTGAGTGTAGCATGCAGGCAGGGTGCTGGGCACCCCTCTAGCAGGTGAGGCTGCCCATTCAGCCAGCAAGTATGACATCCGAGAAACAAGAGGGACAGCGTGCTGCAGCAACACCTTGCAGGGCACCCCGCCTGGTCCAGGGAGACTAGGGAAGGCCCCTGAGAGGCAGTGATGTCTGCACTGCTACTTGGAACAGTCAAGTCAGCCAGAGCTGGGGAGAGCATCATGGTCCCAGGGAATAGGAGAATGTGGTGCAATCAAGCAACAGGAGGGAACTCAGGCCAGTGAAAGCGAGCAGAGTGTCTACTGACCTTGAGTACTCAAATATGTGCAACCCCCAGGCAAGGGCCAGGTTAGACACTCCAACCTGGTTTATCTCTGGTAAGGTTATACCCTGAGACATGTTCTCGGTTGGCTGTGTGTGTAAGTATAAGCAGGTTATACTTAGAGACTGCAGACAGTGGGGCTTAAGACTCTAGTTGGCAGCTGGGTGCAGTGGCTCAGCCTTTAGTCCCAGCATTTATGGAAAGCTAAGGAGAGAGGATTGCTTGAGCCCTGGGGTTCGAGACCAGCCTGGGCAACTTGGTGAGACCTTGTCTCTACAATAAATCAAAAAATAAGCCGGGCGTGGTAGTGCACATCTGTAGTTCCAGCTACTTGGAAGGCTGAGGCAGAAGGATCACCTAAGCCCAGCAGGTGGAGGCTGTGGTGACTGTGAGTATGCCACTGCCCTCCAGCCTAGGTGACAGAGTGAGACTCCAACTCAAAAAAAAAAACCCTCCAGTTGGAAACCTGCCTGTGTCTGTACAACCCATGTGGCCGTGGGGACGGCCCATGACCTTTCGGGACCTCCCTGCAAAGACCCTGAAGAAGAGGTTATAAAAACTACCTCAGCTGGGCGCGGTGACACACGCCTGTGATGCCAGCACTTTGGGAGGCAGAGGTGGGAGGATCGCTTGAGCCCAGGAGTTTGAGATCAGCCTGGGAGAGATCTCATATCTACAAAAAATTTTTTAAAATTAGCTGGGTGTGATGGTGTGTGCCTGTAGTCCCAACTGCTCAGGAGGCTGAGGCAGAAGGATCTCCTGAGCCCAGGAGGTCAAGGTTGCACTGCACTCCAGCCTGGGTGATAGTGTGAAACCCCACTCAAAAAAAGAAAAATCATGATAAAAAAACAAAATAAAATGTCAGTACCTTCCCCTTAATGTATGATATTCTCCCTCTCTGCTTGTTTTCTTCTTAGTACTTACCCCAGCATGCTCTGTGTCTTGCTTACTTGCCCTGTGTATTGTCCATCTTCCCTACCCGAATACACTGGATGCGTCAATCCCCGCCAGAATGCCCCACTGCACAGACGCAGGGGTTTTGTGTTTTGCTCACCTCGGTTCAATGCTAGGATGGTACCTGGTACATGGCAGGCACCCAACATGCCTGCTATTGCAGCACTTTACAGAAGCGACACCCGAGGCTCAAGACAGCTGAATAATACACTCAAGGGCACACAGCTGGACACTATTGGGAGCTAAGTGCCCTGTGATGCGTCACAACAGGAAAAATCCATTTAGCAAAAGACATCAACGTCAGCGGCCCCTCACCACCCGCCTCCCAGCGCCAGCTGGAGAGAGGAAAGCTGTCATATAGGAAGAAATCGGGGCAAGAGGGCTGCATGGGGCTGCTCGGTGGACCCAAGCCTGAGTGTTGTTAGGTGAGGAGGCTCAGAGGCCAGCGATGTGGAGGCCAGCTGCTGGAGGCTAGTGGCGTGGGGATGAGGAGGGGGTTGGGGGGGGAAGGATTTGCCGAGTCTGTCTGAATCCATCAAGGGGAGTTTTTAGACAGTTTTCAGCATCAAGCCCTATCTCACTGGCAAGCCCATCCGACTTGCTGTGTTCCTTCTTCTTTCTTTTTTTTTTGAGTCTGTCGCCCAGACTGGAGTGCAGTGGCTGCTCCCGGCCACCGCAGCCTCTCCTGCTGGGCTCCGGCGATCCTTCCGCCTCAGCCTTCCAAGTAGCTGGAACTACAGGCGCGCGCTACCCCACCCGGCTAATTTTTGATTTATTGTAGAGATGAGGTCTCGCCAAGTTGCCCAGGCGGGTCTTGAACCTGCGGGCTCAGGCAGTCCACTCACCTCAGCCTCCCAAAGGCGCGGGATTACAGGCTGAGCCACCGAGACTGGCTTCCTTCTTCTTTCATTTGTCCCACTGGACACTGGAGTGTAGTGGCACAGAGAGGAACCCCAGTCAATGACCCGGACAATTGGAGGACAGCCCCATCAGTGGATCTGATGCAGTTTTATGGAGGTGAGGACAGTGATTTTTTTTTTTTTAGTTAAGTTCTCACTCTGTTGACCAGGCTGGAGTATGCAGTGGCACGATCACGGCTACCACAGCCTCAACCTCCCGGGCTCAGGTGTTCCTCCTACCTCAGCCTCCTAAGTAGCTGGAACTACAGGTGCGCACCCCCACGCCTTGCTAAGTTTTTTTATTTATTGTAGAGATGAGGTTTCCTTATGTTGCCTAGGCTGGTCTCAAACTCCTGGGCTCAAGCCATTCTCTTGCCTTGGCCTCCTAAAGTGATGGTATTGTAGGCGTGAGTCACCATGCCCAGCCTTCTTTCTCTTTCTTTTCGGGAGCAAGATGAGGAGTCATGACCATGGCTCAGAACTGGACTAGGAGGGGGTCCTTTCATGTTGGAGAAAGGGCAAGAAGCCACTCACATGGTCAGATGGCTTCTCCTGGTTCCGTTTTCCTTCCTCCTCGGAGGTGCACACGGGGAGGTGCAGCTCCTGGCTCCAGGGCCCTCCTCCCTTCCCCCCACAGGCCCTCCGCCTCACACACTCACCATCAGGTCCGAGGCCCTTGGCCAGGGCTGGCCCATGTGCTCCATGCAGACGCCTCGTCAGCTGATGTGCCCACCTCCGGCTGCGGTCCCTCCTTAGAACTGCCCTTGCCCCTAGGGACTGCCTTGCCCAAGGCTGGCCCTTCTAGGAGCTCCCTAAGGTCAGTGGCTGGATGAGGCAGGACAACTTTTTTTCTCTCTCTTTTTTTCTGAGTCAGAGTCTCACTCTGTTGCTCAGCCTGGAGTGCAGTGGCACGATCATGAGGCTACCGCAGCCTTGACCTGCTGGACTCAGGTGATCCTGCCAATGCAGCTTCCTGAGTAGCTGGGACTACAGGTGCACACCACCTCACCCAGCTAATGTTTTGTTTTTTTGTAGAGAAAGATCTCACTATGTTGCCCAGACTGGTCTCGAATTCCCAGGCTCAGGGAATCCTCCTGCCTTGGCCTCTCAAAATGCTGAGATTACAGGTGTGAACCACTGCGCCCAGCCAGGAATACCTTTCAATTTCGGGTAACTGGGAAGGTCGTCCTACATGGAGCGTCCCATTGTGGTGACCCCTCCCTCCACCCAGTGCTGCCGTCCTCCCTTCCCTGCTGATGCTACCTGAGAGCATGCCCTGAAAGCCTCCTGTGCGTGACTCCAGGGGCCCTCTGAGCCCACATGTCTTTGGTCTTTGCCTTTCATACACAGTTCACTCCTGTGACCCCCAAGGCACCCACTTTCCACTAAAATGCAGCCCATGTATCCTGGAGACTGGTGATTGGGTGCTGATGGGTTAATATGGTACCCAGTAAAAATCATTATCATGAGCCAGGCATGGCAGCTCACACTTGTAATCCCAGCACTTTGGGAGGACGAGGCAGGAGGAGAGCTTGAACCCAGGAGTTCAAGACCATCTGGGGCAGCACAGTGAGACTCTGTTTCTATAATTCTAAAAAATAATAATAGTGCTCATGATGGGAACTGACATTTATGTACAGCTCACAGTCTCCATAGCACACTTCCCACTTGACGTCAGCTGCAGTACAGAACAGTACATGGGTTTGGACGGGACTCTGGGTGTGAGTTCTGTCTACCCCTCATGAGTCTTGAAACTCTGGGCCAGCTGCATTCTCTCTCTGTTGCTCAGTTTCTCCTTCTGTAGCATAGGGATAGTACTAGTTCCTTTCCCAGAGTTTAGGCGAGAATTAGATTGAGCCGATGCATAGAAAGGTCTCGGGATGGTCCTGGCACACCAAGCATGTGGTGCCAGTGGCTGGCAGCGTTTGATCTCACGGTGGCCTGTGGTATCCTACGACTCCCCCAGCCGCGTCCCTCTTGGATACCTCAGAGCCTCCACTTTTCCCTCCAGCATCTCTCTAGCCACCTCCGGCACAGATGCCCCCGACAGCCCCTTCCTGGTTCACATGGCATCTCTTGCTGTCTGCCCTGAGCTGTTTTGCCACTTTTGTTAGAGAGGCCAACAGATCCCTCTCAGCAAAAACTGGGGGCATGAGGGGGCTGTCACCCGGATGGCCTCCCTCGGCCAAGGAGGGATTGGAGCCAACGGAAAAACAGTCCCTCCTTCCATTCCTTGAAAGGTTCATTCTGAGGTATATTCTGTCCCATCAGAATTCAAGTTTAGCCAGGTGTGGTGGCTCACGCCTGGAATCCCAGCACTTTAGGAGGCCAAGACGGGAGGATTATCTGAGCCCAGGGTTTGAGGCCAGCCTGGGCAACATGGTGAGACCTCATCTCTACAATAAATAAAAAAATTAGCCAGGTATGGTGGTGACACCTGTAGTCTCAGCTACTTGGGAGGCCGAGGCAGAAGGATTGTCTGAGCCCAGGAGGGCCAGGCTGCAGTGATCTGTGATTGTGTCACTGAACTCCAACCTGGGTGACAGAGACCCCGACTCAAAAAAAATGCACTTTAGTTACCCCCAACACTGGCCAGCTCCCAAACATACCTGGTGTGGCTTTCCCCCTGCCCTGTCTTTTGTCCCATCTGCCCATGCCTGTTGACTGAGTTCTCTTCCCAAAGGAAATTCCCCAGACCCAGGGTCTTGTCTTGTGCTCTGCTTTTGGGGAACCATCTAACTGTGGACAGGAGAGTGGAAAAATAAGAACAGACAAGTTCAAATCATATGGTGGTCTGGACACAAGTCAGGGTCTTCATCTGCCCAAGTTCATGCCCTCACTCCATGCCACCTCCCAGCTGATACACAGGTGTCTTCACAGAGGCCTCTGGAAGCTTGCCTGGGCTCTGAGAGGTTGGGGAAGGGCCAGCCAGGAGCAGGTGGCTTCAGACATGGACATCTTCATGTCCCACCTTGTCTCTCTGCCCTGCAGGGATGCTTTCCTGCATGGCCTGAGGCTGGTGGGCCATGGCTCCACTTGGCTGAAGCCGGGACAGGGACTACATCTAATTTGTCTTTGTAGCACCAGCACTCAGCTCCTGTGTCATTAACCCTCAGAGCCCAGCATACAGCAGGTGCTAAATAAATGGTTGCCAGAGACACATCCAGAACTCAAGCTATGGGCAGTTTGCTTTTTATTGACTGCTTTTTAATGTGGCCGTGTCTGTTTCTATACTTTTTTTTTTTTTGAGTTAGAGTCTCGCTCTGTTGTCCAGGCTGGAGTGCAGTGGCTTGCTCAGGCCACCCCAGTGTCGACCTGCTGGGCTCAGGTTATCCTTCTACCTCAGCCTACCAAGTAGCTGGAACTATAGGTGTGCGCTACCACGCCTGACTAATTTTTGATTTACTGTAGAGACAAGGTCTTGCCAAGTCACCCAGGCTAGTCTTGAACCTGTAGGCTCAGGCAATCCCCTCTCCTCAGCCTCCCAAAGTGCTGGGATTACAGGCTTGAGCCACCATGCCTGGCCTATACTTCTTATTTTTAAAAAAATCTTGTAGAAACAGGATCTCACTGTGTTGCCCAGGCTGGTCTCAAGCACATGACCTCAAGAGATCCTCCTCCCAGCCTGGTGCGGTGGTTCAAACCTGTAATCTCAGCACTTTGGGAGGCCGAGTTGAGAGGATTGCCTGAGCTCAGGGGTTTGAGACCAGCCTGGGCAACATGACAAGACCTTGTCTCTACAATAAATAAAAAAAAAATTAGATGGGCATGGTAGCATGTACCTGTAGGTCCAACTACTTGGAAGGCTAAGGCGGAAGGATCGCCTGAGCCCAGCAGGACAAGACTGGGGTGGCCATGAGCAGTGTGCCACTGCACTCCAGCATGGGCGACAGAGTGAGACTCCAACTCAAAAAAAGAGATTCTCCTGTTTTGGTCTCACAATGTACTGGAATTATGGGTGTGCGCCACTGTGGCCAGCCATTATTATTTATTTTTTATGCTGGTTTGGAATGTAATCTCTGATGGACAGAAAATATTTGGTGGGGAGTTTTCTACTTTTTTACCAAACTAAGTTAGTACAACATTATGTACCAAAAATTATTCAAGAAATAGTAAATATTACTTGAAATTATTTGAGCAAACCTAACTATCAGGTTGATTGACTGATGAAAGAAAGCCCTGGGAGCTCTCTCAAACGGGTGCCTTGTAGGATAAATGTAGCTGTAAGATACATGAATTTGGCTGGCACAGTGTTGATTATTTTATATTAAAATTCTTGGCCAGGCACGGTGACTCATGCCTGTAATCCCAGCACATTGGGACGCCAAGGCAAGAGGATTGCTTGAGCCCAGGAGTTCAAGATCAGCCTGGACAACATAGCGAGAACTCATCTCTATGATTTAAAAACATTAATTTTATCATAATAATTTTTTTCATTAAAAAATTGAATTCTTCTCGGGTATACTCAGGGCTGCCACTTTGACGGCATTCTGCCTGTCCCGGTTCTCAAGTCCCGTCACCTGCCAGCCCTGTGGGTAGGTGGGCTTGTGGCCCCACACGACAGGCTTCTCCTCACGTAGAGAGTGAAAGAGCCAACGGCACCATCTCCTCCTCGGGCCCTGCCCTGGCCTTCCTGTGACTGGCTCAGCCTGCCTCTCTGCCTCCCATGTGCCTCCTGACGCGTGATATCCTGCCTTCCAGGTACTACAAGATCTCCGTGATTCTCATGTGCTTTGTGGTGCCCACACTGGTGCCCTGGTGCGCCTGGGGAGAGAGTCTGTGGAATGCCTACTTCCTGGCCTCCATCCTCCGCTATGCCGTCTCCCTCAATGTCACCTGGCTGGTCAATAGCGCTGCCCACATGTATGGAAATCGGCCCTACGACAAGAACATTAGCCCTCGGCAGAACCCGCTTGTTGCAGTGGGCGCCATCGGTGAGTGGGGAATTGGGAACCAGCCGGGAGAATGGCGGCCCGGGTTTCCTTGGCTTCTCCATAGTTTAGTGGCCTCCGTCAAGAGAAGCAGAGTGGAGAGAACTTGAGCCTTGACTTAGAGTCCCAACTCTTGAGCAAGTCATGTGATCTCTCTGATTTACAGTTTTCTTTATTTTTTTTTAAAGATAGGGTCTCACTCTGTCACCCAGGCTGGAGTGCAGTGGTGTGATCACGGCTCATGGCTGCCTCAGCCTTCTGGGCTGAGGTGATCCTTCCTTCTCAGCCTCTTGAGTCGCTGGGACCCCAGGCGAGTGCCACCATGCCCAGCTAATTTTTTGATTTATTGTAGAGATGAGGTCTCGCCATGTTGCCCACGCTGGTCTGAAACTCCTGGGCTCAGGCAGTCCTCCTGCCGCGGCCTCCCAAAGTGCTGGGATTCCAGGCGTGAGCCACCATGCCTGACTAATTTACAGTTTTCTTATCTGTGAAATGGGAACAACAATGCCTATGTCACTGGAGTGTGCAGATGGCTTGGTACACTGCCCAGTGCACAGATGATCAGTAATCAGTCACTATTTGTTATTATATGAAAGTGTTCCTGATATGCAAGTAGCAGGTGATTTCTCTCTTAAACACCCTGATCATTCTGGCCCAGTTGCCCAGCCATCTGGCAGACTTAAAGGACAAAGGCCTTCAAAAAAATCTGGGAGGAGACAAGCCTGGGCAGCTCATGGGCCCACGAGATGGTGACAGGCGAGGCCTCTGGAGTCAGCGCGTGTGGTTGAGTCCTGCTTTTCCCACTCACTCTCTGGGCAAGTTACCAGGCTCCCCTACATTTTGTGTCCCTATCTGTAAAGTGAGGATCAAGCTGGGTGCAGTGGATCACGCCTGTCATTCCTTTGAGAGGTGGAGACGAGAGGACTGCCCGAGCCCAGATTCGTGACCAGCCTGGACAACTTGGCAAGACCTTGTCTCTACAATAAATCAAAAAAGTAGCCAGGTGTGGCAGCACAGGCCTGTGGTTCCAGCTACTTGGAAGGCTGAGGTGGGAGGATTACCTGAGCCCAGCAGGTCAACGCTGTGGTGGCCATGAGTGTGTCACTATACTCCAGCCTGGGCCACAGAGTGAAACTCTAAGTCAGTCAAATCAATCAATCAGTCAATCAAATAAATAAATAAGTGGGGCTAACAGTAACACTTACCTCCTCCAGGGGTCATTAGAGGGCTGGATGAGTTAACAGCGTGTTGGCTGCAGTGCTCATCACGAAATAAGCCTTTGTGGTGTTGCTGTTATTGCTAGTCATGTGGCCTTGGATGAGTTCCCCATCCCTTCTGTGCAGTCATGTCTTCATTTTAAAATGGGGATAATTGGCTGGGTACAGAGGCTCATGCCCATAATCCTAGCGCTTTGGGAGGCCAAGGTGGGAGGGTCACCTGAGGCCAGGAGTTCAGGACTGGCCTGGGCAACATAGCATCACCCGTCTCTACAAAACCAAAACATTTTTTAAAAGGAAAAAAAAAATAAAATAGGGATAATCATAGCAATTAGTTCAGAGGTGTGAGAGTTACAGAAGTTAATCTCTGTTAAAGCACTTAGCACTCTGCTTGGCACACTGTAAGTGGTTAATCAATATCAGCTGTCCCTTTACAGAGGCAACTTGGGCTTCTTCGTAAGTGGAGCCTTGAGTGCAGAGATCAAGCCCAGAAGGGAAGTCCCTGCTGTTAAGTGGAGAGGTCTCTGCCACTCAATGATGACATTCTACTGTCACTTAATTCGGTCATCCACTTACTAACCCCTGGGGGCTTAGTAAGTGGAAAGTTCTTGTCACCTCGCATTGACAGCAGCAACAGAAGGTGGAATAAACACCGAGTTTAGCTTTGGATTAACTGGTACACAGGAGAAAAGTGCCTTGGGGTGGGGCATGGTGGCTCACTCCTATCATCTCAGCACTTTGGGAGGCAGAGGCAGGAGGATCGCTTGACCCAGGAGTTCAAGACCAGCCTGGGCAATATATCAAGACCCCGTCTTTACCCAAGATACAAAAATTGCCAGGAGTGGTGGCGCATACCTATAGTCCCAGCTACTTGGGAGGCTGAGGTAGAAGGATCACCTGAACCCAGGAGGTCGAGATTGCAGTGAGCTGGGATCGTGCCACTGCACTCCAGCCTTGGTGACAGAGACTCAGACTCAAAAAAAAAAAACAAACCCAAAATGCAGACCACAGATGGGTCCCTCTTGACATATACTCACCAGAGTGAAATCCTTCAAATGTGGTCAGTGGTAGAGCTAGGTGGTAGCTGGTCACCACTTAAGAAGTAAGAGAAGAGCCTGGCATTTCCCCTGTGATCCAGCAACCCCGTCCCTAGACTTATACCTGAGAGAAATGAAAACACGTGTCCACATGAAAACTTGCATGTTCACGGCAACATTCTTCATAATAGCTGAGAAATGTAACCAACCTGAATGCTCATCAACTGAAGAATAGATAAATACAATGTGTATACAATGTGGTACATTTTATATATATAGAAAATGAAATACTATCTGACAATGAAAAAAAATGAAATTCTGACACCACCACATGGATGAACCATGAAAACAACATGATGCTAAGTGAAAGATGCCATCTCAAAGGACTACATATTGCATGACTTTACTTATCTAATGTGTCCAGAACAGGCAAATTCATAGAGACAGAAAATAAGGCTGGGAGGGAGCAGGTGGCACTAGGGCTAACAGGCAAGGAGTGTGGGCTTTTGGAGAGTAATGGAGACATTCTAAAACTCACTGTCCTGATGGGTGGATGCTCAGCTCTGTGAATGTGCTGAAAGACTAAACTGTATACGCCAAACGGGTGCATTGTGTGGTCAATGAATTTTATTTCCATAAGGCTGGTTTTGAAAGTCAAATGAACTAATCATTAGAGAAATGCCAGTTAACACCACAGTGAGATAGCACTGCCCACCTGCTAGAATGGCTGCTATCCAAAAGATGAAGGGGGAGTGTGGGTGAGGATGTGGGGAGAGGGAACCCTTGCACACTTGACGGTGATGGGAACTGGTGTGAATGGCTTATGGAAAACGGCGTGGCATTTCCTCAAAAAACTAAAAATAAAACCACCACATGATCCAGCAATCCCACTTCCAGGTATGTAGCTAAAGGGAAGGAAATCAGCATGCGGGAGGAACACCTGCACTCCTGTGTTTATTACAGCATGATTCACAAAGGCCAAGACTCAACCTATGTGTCCATCAACAGCTGCCTAGATAAAGAAAATATGGCATATATGCACAGTGGCATACTATGCCACCTCGAAAAAGGCAACCCTGCCATTGGAATGAACCTGCAGAACATAATGCCACATGTGGTGAACCAGACAGCAGGAGACAGATGCTGCATGTTCTCACACCTATGTGGGAGCTAAAAGAGTTGAACTCACAGAAGCAGAGAGTGGAATGGGGGCTCTCAGGGGCTGGGAGGTGGGGTGCTGGTCGAAGGGCAGGGACTTTCAGTTTGACAAGAGGAATAAGCTCAGGAGATGTGTTGGACGATGTGGTGACCACAGTTAATACCAATGTATTGTGTTTTTGACAACCACTGAGAGAGTAGATGGAGTCTAAGTGCCTGTGAGGTGATGCACATGTCAGTTAGCTCGATTTCACTGTCCCACGGTGTGTACAGATTTCAAACCACAAGGTGTGCATGATAAGTACATACACACTGTATTTGTCAATTAAGAAATAAACAAAAGGGCCGGGTGTGGTGGCTCAAGCTTGTCATCCCAGCACTTTGGGAGGCCGAGGTGAGAGGATTCCCTGAGCCCATGGGTTCGAGACCAGCCCAGGTAACTTGGCAAGACCTCATCCTTACAATAAATTTAAAAAATCAGCCTGGCGTAGTGACACGCACCTGTAGCTGTGGCTACTTGGAAGGTTGAGGTGGAAGGATAGCCTGAGCCCCGCAGGTTGACACTGGAGTAGCCATGAGTGTGCCATGGCACTATAGCCCAGGCGGCAGAGTGAGACTCTAACCCAAAAAAAAGGAATGAGCAAATGAAAGAAGTTTAGAAAATTAAATCAGAGGAGCCTTGAGACGTCTCATGAATACACTTTAATAAGAGTCAGACAGTGAAAGCTACCCACTGAGAGGGGCAGGGTGATACATAGGTCGATGCTGGATATTTAAGGATCAGATTCCTTCACTGAACAAGCGGTCTGAGCGAGTCTTATCTCCCACTTCTGCACTCTCCTTCTAAGAAGGCTTTTTAAAATCACTCCAACCCACAGAGGCTTTTCCTTGACTAACATCAGAAGGATCTGTTGCCAGCCATTTAGCCTTGACCTTAGGAAGCACAGCTGTGAAGTCATGGTATCACACCTGCAATTCACGCAGAAAATTCCTCTTGTGACGTCCTGCTGCCAACTTGGTGTTGCTTTTCTGGTTCTGTTTAGTGTCTAGCCAACTAAGTCAATGCTTTCTGAAGGAATTCCCCACAGAGCGTGACACAATGCCTCACACATGGTGGATCCTCAAAAAAGTAGGTGTTGAAAAGTCTGTGCAGGCCAGTACTTTGGGAGGCCGAGGCAGGAGGATGGCCTGATCCCAAGAGTTCGAGACCAGCCTGGGCAACATAGTGAGACCTCATCTCTTTAAAGACAAACAAACAAACAAAAATCTGGGTAGACAATGGTGGGTCACCAGATAGCTGGATACTGCTGGGGAGGGAGGGGGGAACACATGGCACATGGCGGGGGGTTCCTGGTCCACTATCAGGCGGAGAGAGGGCCAGCCAGAAGCCCAGACTTCACCTGCATGCAACTTACTTATGCAGTAAATCCTCACTTGACTCTAAAATAAAGTAGATAAAATAAAATAAAGACAGCTGTCCAGGGGTGGTGACCGAGTCCTGTCTATGCGCTCTGTCCTGCAGGCGAAGGCTTCCACAACTACCACCACACCTTCCCCTTTGACTACTCGGCGAGCGAATTTGGCTTGAAGTTCAACCCCACCACCTGGTTCATTGACGCCATGTGCTTGCTGGGGCTGGCCACCGACCGCAAGCGGGCACCCAAGCCAATGATCGAGGCCCGGAAGGCCAAGACTGGAGATGGAAGCACTTGAACCTGGAGCCGCCACCCCGGTGTCCTGGCCACCTCAGCTCACAGCTTTTGTTACTAGGGTTCTCTGGTTTGTTGGCTCATGGGAGGGGGCGGGGGGTGGGAGGGACCGGGATCTATGTGGTTTGGGAAGTTGTTTGTCTCGAGATAATGTGGAGATCCAACTATCAGTGGAAACACATTTTAAGTCAGTATTTCTGTGATTTAACGTTAGAGTATGGCCATGTGATTTAGTCGCTGTAGATACAATGTGTCCAATAGATATTGTCATGTGCTTGTACATGACCTTAACCCTGAGGGCATGGAGGAGTTTAACATTCTCTCAGTGTGATTCAAGAGAGCACTGGCTTCCTTTTCTACCAATTAACCCAGCTTTGCTTTTAAACACATACTTGCTGAAGGAGCAGAGAGCCAGGGTGGGAGACAGAAGAGGGGTCCCTGTGGTAACTAAAGAATGTTTCTGTTTGTAATTATTGCGTGTGGGTGGGCTTTGTATTTGTTTTAGAGAATTGAGCACTTTAAAACCGAGGAAGCAGGAAACAGCTCTTGTATTTTTTTTTTTTTTTTTTTTGCCCTTTTTACCGCTTGTTCAGGCCCCGCAATCTTTGCTTCAACAGATTCGTTTGCTGCCCAGCTAGTCTCACGTCCCCAGCCTGTGCCTGGCCCACCCTTGAAATCAGTGCCTGCTCAGATGTTTGATTTTGTTCTCTTTGCTATTGTCATTTTAAAGGTATATAACTCAGACATGCCAGACATCAAATTAAGTGCAAATCAAGCTCTCATTTAAATGTTTAGACACCTAATTTATATCCTAATTGAGCCCAGCCACTGATGCATGTACTTTACTTCTGCTAAATAAGTGTATTAATTTTCCACACCAGGTCATCAGATCTTAGTAACTGACAGCTGTCCTGAATTCTATGTCTACTAATGTTTCACCTGCATGCAGCCTTCCTTGATTTTGTGTCAAAATATAAAATGATCATTATGTAGCTTCTGGATTAAGAAACTTTTTGTGTCAATTTGTCTTGTAAAGAGCATGTTGAATTAATGGGTCGCGTGCCCTTTGTGTTAGATATTAGAGCAAAAGAAAGACCTTATAGTGTTGGTGTTGGAGCACTTGGAAGGTAGGTATTTTCAGGAAAAAAGTAGGATTTAAAATCTAAATTTTAGAAAAAGAAATGATGCCAATTAGAAATTGTCCTAATGAAGTTCTTCATCCAGCAGGTGTTAAACAGTATTAGTTTTGCCATTAATAACATGTCAGCTATGAGTGATTTACAATAAATGATTACAAATCCGTGAGTGTTCTCATCCAGATACTTGAGTGTTGTTCAGAGAATGTTCTCAAGATGACTTGATGCTTGCTGATGATCATTTGACTCTTGTGATTTGGGATGTGGACCAATAATAGCCCTAAGACCAGCCCCTACTACCAGTCCCTAAGACCAGACCCTAAGTCTAGCCCCCAGGGCCAGCCCTAAGACCAGCTTCTATGATCAGGCCCTGTGACCAGCACCTACAACCAGCCCCTAACACCGGCTGCTAAGACCAGACCCTAAGACAAGGCCCTAAGTCTAGCACCTATGACCAACCCTAAGACCAGCCCCTACTACCAGACCCTAAGACCAGTGCCTACGACCAGCCTCTACGAAGTCTAGGTCTCTCCCTTCCCATCAGTTTCAGGCACGACCCGAGGGAAGCCGGCAAGCTTTATTTGGCGTGCAGACCCCTTGGTGACATTGTCCCCACTCAGTCCCCAGCACTGTCCCTTGTAGTCCTCCCAGCTGGGAGACGGGAGCCTCTCCCCCTGCACGTACCCCAGAAGAGCCTGGAGAACCCTTCCCCACAGGCCCCACAGTGGGGACAGAGGTGGACCCCTGTTCTGGCTCCCATCCTGCCTCTCTCCGCCTCTCCTCTGGACTGCCTGAGTCTGGGCCATCTTTGGCCCAAAGAGCTGTGCCCCTGTCATCAGACACAGCCTTCCTGGCCTGCCTGCGGCCGAGTGGGATCCCAGGCCAGCTCTCAGTGAGCAGGGCCCTTAGATATGCCCGTGGCACTTTCCAGCGGGTCACATGTTCCTGAGGCCTCATGTGGAGGCTGGTGGAGTCGGGTTTATCCCAGGTGAGTCTGTATCAGCAGGACGTAAAATGGCCCTGCCTGGGAAGGTTTATGTGAACCTCTGACTCCTGAAAGTACTCAATTCACTTGTCCATTCATAGCAAAGATACATCTGGAGCCACTGTATAGGATCTCACAAACGGAGGCTGTCCCTAGGTAGTCCAGACATCCAGGACCTTGCTCCTCAGAGCCTGAGTACCCTCTCTCGCCTGTAGCAGTGCCCATGAGTGACCTGGGACCGGGGTAATTGAAAGGAAGAAGTAGATGGAGGTTGGGTCATGCTGGCATCATCCCCGTCAAGGTTGGCAGCCGGTTTCATAGCATCTGAAAGAAGAGATCAGCCCCAGGAGGCATTTCCCACGCCTGTCCAGGATGGTCCTGGGGAGGTGGATGCCTTTCTTGAAAGGTTCAGTTTAAGGGAAGGCTTATTTCAGAAGCACCCACCCCTGCATCCAGGGGGAGCCCAGGGAAGCAGTTCCCACAGTGCATGCCCTGTGTCCCATGAGTGTCATGGCAACCGCATGGAGCCAGTCAGGGACAGAAGAGGCAACCCAAGTTTAGCTGAAGACCCCAGCTCTGCTACCAGCCAGCCATGTGGCCTTGTGAAAAACTCAACTTTCTGGATTTAGTTTAGTTTTGTTTTGTTTGGAGTTGGAGTCTCATTCTGTCACCCCAAGTTGGAGTACAGTGGGACGGTCAACCTGCTCTACCTGCTGACTCAGGCGATCCTTCTCCCTCAGCCTCCCAAATAGCTGGAACTACAGGTGTGCCCAAACACGCCCAGCTAATTTTTTGATTTATCATAGAGAAAAGGTTCTGCCATGTTGCCTAGGCTGGTCTCAAACTCCTGGGCTCAGGCAATCCTCTCTCCTCGGCCTCCCAAAGTGCTGGGATGACAGGTGTGAGCCACTGTGCCCAGCCTGGATTCAGTTTTCTCAACTGAGAAGAGAAGGGATTACACCAGACTCTATCTAGGGTCCTACTCAGCCCTAACATTCCAGCGACAGCAACAGAGACAAGGTCATGCCTGACTTCAGCTTGGAAACACCTCTCAAGTTAACAATCATCCTTTCTGGGACCAGGAAGGTCAAAACTGGGGCAGAGGATGTCATTGAGTCTGAGTGGGAGAGCACGGACTGAGGCTGAAAAGACAGAATGTTCTTGGTTAAAAAAAAATGTGTGTGTTTCACTCATTCCCAAAATGTAAATGCAGGAATAAAATAAATATAACCCACATGAGAAACATTTTAACGAAAGAAAGCCCTGCAGAAAGCTTGATGACTGACGGGGTAGTGGAAATAGCTTAGACTCAGAGTCCAAAGACCTGAGTTTGAATTCTAACTCTCCTTTTTTCCTTTATTTTTTTGAGCCAGGGTCTCACTCTGTGGCCCAGACTGGAGTGCAGTGGCATGATTAGGGCTCACCGCAGCCTTAACCTCCTAGGCTCAGACAATCCTTCCACCTCAGGCTCCTGAATAGCTGGGACTACAGGAGCATACCACCACACTCCGCTAATTATTTGATTTTTTTGTAGAGATCAGGTCTCACTATGTTGCCCAGGCTGGTCCTGAACTCCTGGGCTCAAGAGATCCTCCTGCCTCGGCCTCCCAAAGTGCTGAGATTACAGAGATGTGAGCCACCACGCCCACCTGAATTCTAACTCTTGTTCTGACTTGCTGTATTACCTGGGACCTGGTTTTAGGCTGAAACATATGAAAGTGCTGCTGACTCACCTACTAAGCCTGTCTGCGCCTCGGTGTGCTCATCCACAAGATGGGAACAGCAACCTTCAGACTCACTACAGTGCTGGGTGCACCACAGAGCCAACTGCTGAGGGCGACAAGCATGCCCCAGCCAGACGCAAGACATAAGTTGAGACATAATGCAGATAGCAGTGACCAGGAGCAAAGAGAGGCGGGCCAGCTTCCTGGCCTGGCTTTGCTCCTCACCGGCTGGATGGCCCTGACCTCTTAGAACTTCAGTCTCATTGTCTGTAAAAGAGCCCCACTGGACTGGATGGTCCTAGCCGACTCTACCATCTTTGAAGTCTTGTCTCCTATTTGAAGAAGCCTCCAACAAGCCAGTAGAACCTTTGTGGCCACACGGCCCCTGCTATTCCAGGCTTCTGCAGGTCCTTCTAGCTCCCGTACCGCTCTCCCACCTCCATCACGGACGAGTCTGACCCACAGGGGTGTTGATGCTTCAGTCAGCTTGGGATGGATTTGTGGGAGGGAGAGGCTGCAGCCCATGGATGGGAATGAGCTCTAGGGCTCATCCGTGACGCTCCTTTCCCACTTCACCCCGTCCCCCGGGACAAAGGCAACTGGGAGCCGGTTGTGTTCTCGGGCTGTTCGCGTGGACAGCAAGGAAGGAAAGACACGGCCTAACCTTTAGAGTCTAGTTTTTTTAATCTCCCCATTTTTAGCTCGGGCTAGTTAGAGTCCTTCCCAGCCCTTCCTCCCTGTCCAGGATGTGCTATAAATGAACCGGAAAGCGCTCTCCTGTTCCCGAGAGGCCACTGCCCCACGCAGGTCAGCGGGGAACGTTCCCGATGCCTGCCTGTGCAACCCCAGAGTCAAGAGGCGGAACACCCATCGCAGGGCGCCTGCTCACAGCAAGACTCACTGTCCACAACTTCTGTGGCCCCGACACAACCTCCCCGCCCGACTCCCCACCTGAAAGAGCAGTCTGCCACACCCTGGCCCTCACTCCCCACAGGGTCACAAGGAAGTGCCAGCCGGGCAGCCTGGGCTAGCTAGGGCTTTGCTATGAGAAACAGTTCCCTTCCTGACAGCCTCTGGCCTGTGTTCACTATGGAAGAAAGAGGACACCGCTTCGGCCTTTGCTCCAACCCCTCACGACTTGGGATCCACTAAATGTACAGGTGCCCCCCGCCCCTCCGCTTTCGATCCTCTACAAAGCTGCCCTTCACATTGCCATGGAGAGGAAATCCCATATGGGGCTTTTTGCCAGCAGCCCCCTGCTGGGGGTGGACAAAATGACTGGGCCCCACTGGAGCAGGGGTGGTGATGGTTTTATGACCAGACTCCACGTAGGCCTGTGCTCATAGCAGAGGGATCAAAAGACACAGGGGCTGTGTGCAGAGGGGCTTCCCCGTCCTAGGCTGCGTGGCAACACTGTGGGTGGGGATGTGGGTGAGGGAGACCCCTCTGCCAAGTACACATTGTGATTCTTGGTGGAGAATGAACGGGACTGAGTACCCAGGCCGGCAAAGTGAGGCTGGACAGTCAGAAGGTGACTATCCCAGTTTCAACCAGCAGGCTGTCACCTGAGGCAGAGGGACAGCTCCTTCCTGGTCCTGCAGGTGCTACCCATGACACAGAACAGCTGTCAGAGCTGACAGAGCACCCGCCACATCTTCCCCTGAACCAGAGGGCGCTCAGGTTTCTGATGCCCTCACGTAATGGTGTCAGCAGTGCTGACCCATGAGCACATCTGTCTGCACAGCCAGCAATGCTCCTGTCTGAGCCATTCACAACACTCAGGATTCAACCTCAGGGTCAGCTTGTGTGCATGTGCATACAGTAGCATCACAGCCACTCATGGGGACAAAGGGTCCAAGTGGATACTTTGGCCTGAATGGTTTGAAATCGTTATTTTAAAAGTGAAGGCTGGGCACAGTTGCTCAAGCCTGTAATCCCAGCATTTTGGGAGGCTGAGGTGAGAGGATCCCTGAAACCAGGGGTTCGAGACCAGCCTGGGCAACTTGGTGAGACCTCGTCTGTACAATAAATAAATTTAAAAAATTAGCCGGGTGTGGTGGCGCACACCTGTAATTCCAGCTACTTGGAAGGCTGACGTGGAAGGATTGCCTGAGCCCAGCAGGTCGAGGCTGGGGGGGCCGGGAGCATGCCACTGCACT